ACCCTCAGTGCCTCTGTGATCACCCACCCTGCCTGGGGGGGCCTTCTTGGTTCCTGCCCTGCCCTCTTACTTGGAGGTGGAGAGAATATATGGGGTTCAAAGTAGAGGGGAGATTGCAGGAAGGTGCTATGAGAGTGGATAGGGCTTCGGCGGGGAGCACAGGGTATTCAAGAAGGTGGATGAGGGAAGTTATGGCTACCTGTGACAGCCTTTCTCCTTGTTATTAAACTGTCTTTATGTCTTTGTCTCTGTCGGTGTCTTCTGTCTGTCTGTCTGTCTCTCACTTTCTCACACATACACCCCTCACACATTACCCGCTGCCACATACATATAGTCCAGATAGGTAAGCACAGGGTTAGATCTGGGATCCAACACCAAGTGCAGAAATACTGTCCTTTGATTGATCAGATCTGTGGTGCTCAGACACATGGGAAGAATGGAGGGGCCGCCAAGCTCAGAAGGGAGTCTGTTGTGTATTTCACCTTGCTTGTCTTAGAAGGGAGGACTTTCAGGAAGCTGTCCTCCTAGCCATGTGGAGAGGGACAGATACAGGGGACAGGATTGGCTCCCAGAGGGGGAAGCATAGTGAGCCATTGTGGGATGGACTTCTGTTCACATATTCCAAACAAGGGATGTGGCTTTCGGTAGTGGCAGAAGGTGACAGGTGGCAATTGTGGATTGTCTTGCCCTTTGATTTCTAGATAAGAGCACTTCTCAGAGCTCAATTGGTAGAGGAATAGTTGGCAGAAGTATTAGTAAACAGCACAGTGCCACTGCTCTCAGGCTGCTCAGCCAGGATGTTCAGCGGTAACAGCTGCAGCCCAAAGGGGTTCTGGTGATCCTGTCCTATGTTTCAGTATCATTTCCTAGCACTTCTCGATGTTGGAAGCCCAAGTGCCACAGAAGTGGATATCAAGAGGTCAAGCTCTCGACAAGTGCTGTCGTACAAGTCCATAATCCCAGCTACTTAGGAGGTGAAGGTAGGAAGATCAAGGATGAGATCAGGATGAAAAGTACAAGACTTGCCAGGTGCCAGTGACTGATGCCTGTAATCCTAGTTCTTCAGGAGGCTGAGATCTGAGGATCATGGCTCAAAGCCAGCCCGGGCAGGAAAGTCCATGACACTCTTATCTTCAATTAACTATCAGAAAACCAGAAGTGGAGCTGTGGCTCAAGTGGTAGAGCACTAGCCTTGAGCTGAATTGTTCAGGGACAGCGCCCAGACCCTGTGTTCAAGCTCCATGACTGACAAAAAAAAAGTACAAGACTTTATTCAATAAGTAACTAAAGCACAAAGGACTGGAGTGTGGCTTTGTAGACCATCTGGCCAGCAAGAATGAGGCGTTGAGTTTGAACCCCAGTGCTTCCAAAGACAAACAACATTAAAAAATAAAGAAAGAAGGTCAAGCTCAAGGTGACAAAATGAAGACATCAATGGTGGGCAAAGCCATTGCCATCCAGCAAATCTGACCACTTTGATGATAACAGGAGTCCAGCCAAAGGAGACAAGCAAGCTCTTCTTAGTAAGCAATTCAAATCTTAGATGAAGGAACCTGGCTGCCTTTGGGCTTCTGGGCTCCAGTATGGACTCATTAAAAAAAAAAAAATCAATGCTCTAAAAGCTGAGGAGTCTATTAGCAAAAAAAGAACACATACAAAGAATGACAATATAGCATGATAAAGTCTGGAGAGGTGGTGAGGTGTGGGGGGGAAGAGGCAGTCAATCACAGGCTCAGATCCTGGCTCTGGGAAGTGAAGATAAAACTCTCTCTTTCTTGGAGGTGTTGAGGAAAGATTGGCCCATTGCATGTCCAGTGCCTGATGTTAACATCTGACACTCCTACCAAGAATGTCCAGTTACACAGGGCTCGTCAGATCAGAGAGGGACAAAGAGGGGAGCCCATGTGAGAAAGAGGTCATGGAATTTCAGACCAAGGGAAAGAAACATGGACACGGGAGAAAGATCTGGTGACCAGGGGAGGATACTGGACTTCTAGATGTTGGAGGAGGGAAGATAGCAAGCACGAAGAAAGACTATCTACTGATTATCAGTTTCCTGTGCTTCTTGCTTCAAGTGCAAATAACATATCATTCCTTAAATTTTTTCCAAGTTTAAGCCAATACTGGTGGCTCTTGTCTGTTACACTGGTTATTTAGGAGGCTGAGGTCTATGGATCACTGTTTGAAGCCAGCTCAGGCTGGAAAAGTGTATGAGACTATCTCTAATTAACCACCACAAAAACCAGAAGTAGAGCTGTGGCTCCAGTGGTAGAGCACTAGCCTTGAACTCAAAAGCTCAGGAACAGTGCCCAGGCCCTGAGTTCAAGCCTCAGGACCAGCATGTGTGTGTGTGTGTGTGTGTGTGTGTTCGCACATACACGTGTGCGCGCGTGCATACACACACACACACACACACACAATCTAAGTTCAAGGATACTAATGTCTATGATTAGCAAATACCCTGGCTTTGCAGACAGGTATGGTGGCTCTCAGGGTGTGTTGATAAATGTTTAACAACAGGCTCCACAGGGAGAGAACTCTGGTTAGTGGTGCCTGCCAATGTCCATGATGTGAATATTTCCACTATGATTTCCACCTACCTAGCAAGAGATGCTTGTAATCAGCTCTCTCTGGTGGCTGTGAGCTAGCTTTGTCCTGTCACCAGGTAGGGCCCAGGACAGATTCATAGGGAGCACATGGTCCCGGAAAGCACATGGAGGGAAAAGAGCTATCTTGAAAGGAAGATTCAAACAGCCAGGCATGGTGGCACATGCCTGTAATCCAGCACTGAGAGAGCCAAAGCAGGAGGATTATGGATTCAACATCATCCTGGTCTATACATGGAGACCATATCCCATGAAAAGGAGGTGAAGTGGGGGACCAGGTGGGTATAGGAAGCCTAGAAGTATGTGTATGTCTTCTGGTTGATCTGTACTAGAAAATCCAAGTCCTAAGAAGGCAAGGAGTTCCAGGATCCAAAGGAACAGGAAACTCCCACTACCCAGTTTTTTCTCTTTCTTGAATTTTAGTCTCATCTTTCTCTTTGATGAAATAGCTCCTGCTTGGAGGCCAAGGAAGGACCAGGCTTTGCTGACCCACAAAATCTGGTGGCTGGGAACCCCACTCAAAGGAGAACTGAAATAATTTTTCTTCCTAAAGGACAAGTGCAGCTGCCTCTCCAAGTTTCCCCCTCCCTGCAATGGCTAGGGCCATGTCCGCAGAGGCCCCACCCCTCTTCTGGGCTTTCCATGAACACTTCAGGTCTGCATCTGATGACAGACAATTGCTGCCCATTTTCTTGCTCCCTAAACCTATGTAATTAGTTAGAATTACTGGGAATCTTATGCGTCCTGGATCCTATTGCAGGAGTTTGCTCTTAGCAGGAAAATGCATTCTTACACATATGGGACCAGTGCTATTTGCTTACTGAGCAACTGGGAGCTCAAAGGAGACAGAGGAAGAGAGAGAATAGGGGGGAAGAGAGGGAGCGAGAGAGAGAGAGAGAGAGAGAGAGAGACAGACAGACAGACAGACAGACAGACACAGAGACAGACAGACATAGAGACAGACAGAAGGAAAGAGATGGAGAGGGAGAGGGAAATAGAGAGGGAGAGAAAAGGAGGGAGGGAGAGAGGGAACGAGAGAGAAGGGGAAGGGAGAGATGGAGAGAGAGAATAGGAGGGGGAGGGAGAATCAGAGTGGGGAGGGAGGGAGGAAGGAGAGATGGAGGAAGTGGGGGAGTAGGAAAGGGAGGGAGGAGAGAGGAAATGGAGGAGGGAAAAAGAGAAAGGGAGAGGGAGAGAGGGAGGGGGAGGGAGAGAGGAAAGGGGGAAGAGGGAGAGAGGAAGGGGAAGAGAGAGGGAGAGAGGAAGGAGAGAGAGGGAGAGAGGAAGGAGAGAGAGGGAGAGAGAAGGAGGAGAGGGAGGGAAAAGGAGGGGAGAAGGAGCAACAGCACAAGAGAGTGAGAAAGAGAGAGAAATATTTTTCTGGCTCCCTAAGCAAGAAATGAGAGTTAAAGACTCAAAATGGCAGCTATTACCTGCTCCCTCTTTTCTTTCTGAGCTGGGGGACTTATAACTAGCAACCCCCAACCCTTAGGCAAGTGTAGCCAAGATAGGTATTCCTTATAATTGTAAAATTATTTTAAAATATGGACCTGTTTATGGATTGACGTTAGAAGTCAGCCTTTGCAAGAAAGTCCATGAGAGGCTTACCTTCATATAATCAGCAAAAAGCCAGAAATGGCCAGGCTGCTGGTGGCTCGTGCCTATCTATAATCCTAACTATTCAGGGGGTTGATATCAGAGGGTCAGTGTTCAAAGTCAACCTGGGCAAGAAAATTTGCGAGACTCTTTTTTTTTTTTTTTGTCAGTCATGGGCCTGAACTCTGGGCCTGGGCGCTGTCCCTCAGCTCTTCAGCTCAAGGCTATAGCGCTGGACCACTTGAGCCACAGCACCACTTCCGGCTTTTTCTGCTTATGTGGTGCTGAGGAATTGAACCCAGGGCTTCATGCATGCAAGACAAGCGCTCTACCACTGAGCCACCTTCCCAGCCCCTGTGAGACTCTTATCTCTAATTAACCATCAGAAAACAGGAAGTGTGGGGGGATTTCCTAGGCTTTATTTAGCATTTCTAGTAAGTAGACAGGAGTTTTTAAACTACAGAATAATGATCAGAACGAAGAAATAAAGCTAACAATTATCGCCAAAGGCTCAACTAACATCTACCTATCTCCACATTTTACTTCTTTCATTTTTGGCAATCCAGGAATAAAAACAGACGTCGAATCACCTGTGGCGGCCAGGCTGGTAGGGATGAACTGGGATCGAGAGTTTATAGAAGCTACAGTCAGTTTTGCTGACAACCCAGAAAATGCACCCTGCCTGGCTTCCGGAAGTTAGCGCACAGACTTATGGGAAATGTAGTCTTCCCCTCGCCTCTTTCAGGCTCCTTCTGCGCTTGCGTCTCCCCGCCCGCCCTCGCCATCTTTGCCAGGAAACCCGTGTGGTAGTTGTGTTGCCTGGAAGCGGTGTTGTTTGGAAGCTGTGGTGCCTGCTGAGAGAGCGAGGTTCTTTGTGCCGGAAGGTTGGTGCTGGGCGGGGAAAAGAGCGAGCCCTGCAGGGGTGGGGCGCGTCTCTGGGAAGGGTGTCCCCAGACTGGACGGGAGCAGAGATGTGGGTGGGTTCATGGGCTTGGGTGGCACCGGGCTGGGCGGGCCGCGGTGGGCCGCGGTGGTGCCAGGCCCCACAGGGCCAGGGCCAGGCCAAGAGGGGCGGAGGGCCTGGCTTTCGTTGATTTTCTTATTAGAATATGGCGTGCTTCCGGAAGGCCTGTGTGTGCCAAAGCTGGTTGGGTAGATGGGATGGACGAGTCCAAAATGGCCCGAGGGCAAGGGTGGGCCTGCTGACCACGGGAGCCTGGGAGGTCTGTGGGGTGAGTTCTAGCTCTGCCAAAGAAGGATCTGGTTACTAGCCTAGACTGGAGGTTTTGTGCATGCGTGTGTGCGTCCGTGTGCATGAGCCCTGGGGCTTGCACTCCGGGCCTGGGAACTGCCACTCAACCTTTTATTTTATTTTTTTCCCTGCCTAAGGCTAATGCTCTCCTTCGTGGGCCTCAGCTCCAGTTCCACCTTTTTTTTTTTTTTTTGCTGGTTAATTGGAGATAAGAATCTTACATTCCTGCCCCGGCTGGCTTCAAACCAGGAATCCCAAGATCTTAGCTTCCTGAGTAGATGAAATTACAGGCATGAGACACTGGCGTCCTGCTTAGACTGTCTTCTTACTTAGTAGTTGTACCTGTAGGTTTTTTTTTTTTTTTTAATGTCTCTGAAGCAATTGGGTAGTCTGGACCTCTCTACTTGATAGCCTGCTGAGCACTATTGGTTTGAGAAGTTTATAAAATAGTTTGTGTAATACAGAAGTTTATAAATTACTTAGTTTCCAGGTGTTAGGATCCATCACAACCATCCCAGGGTACCACACGGAGGCAAGCAGGCACAGGAGAAAGATTATGATAAGATTTATTAGAGGGACCATATCGCCCCAGGGAGAGGGATCATATGGGTTCTGTCCTTATCCAGTCCCAGAGCTCTAGGACTAGGGGCAAGGCACATGCTAGATCTGGGCACAGAGAGGGAAGGAACTATATGGTGGGAACTCTAGGGCAGGGAGAGCTCAGGGCTGGGTGAAGCTGGGGACCAGAGATAGGGAAAATGCTAACACCAGGGACAGTGAGTTCTTTGATAGTCCCCTCCCCTCTTCTTTTTTTTTTTTTTTTAATTTTTTTTTGGATAAAATAAGTGCTACAGTGTTTGGAAGAAGCTTGCTTGGAACAAAAAGCCCTCCTGAATACCCTTCTGGCTTGAAACCTCTCAATAGCATCTCTGAACAGAAGCAGAAGATTCCAGTAAGAGGAAGATCCTTGCTTTGAATAGTATAGGCAATTATTGATCCTACTGTCTAGAGTGAACCACCATCTAACCTTAAAATTTTAAATGATTTCTTTACCATAACATTGTTACTTAGTAGCAAATACATGCTTAACTAAAGTGTAAATTTTGTGTTTAATCTCTTCCAATTAATAGAATTGTGTATGCTCCTTTTACCATGGTCTATCCTGTAGTTTTTCTCAGGTGAGAGACAAGTTTTGTATGTTTTTGTTTTTGTTTCCCTGTAGCTTCCATGTAGAGATCTTTGTACAGTGGAATCTGGCTGTGAGGCTTCCCTTCCCATCATGCCTTCATTCTCCTTATCATCCATCCATATGTGACTCCACAGCTCTCCACATAGGTCTCTATGCACAACGAAAATGAAAACATCAGTGGTAAGTTTGCTTACTTTTCTTCAGCTTGTTTTTATTCTGTTTTACAAGCTTTCATTAATCAAAATGAGAAGGTACAAAAAACAGAAAAAAAAAGTTCGATATCAGCTGGGTGCCTGTGGCTCACACTTGTAATCCTAGTGACTCAGGAGACTTGAGATCTGAGGATTATGGTTTGAAGCCAGCCTATGCAGGAAAGTCGGTGAGACTCTTCAGATAACCACTAGAAAACTAGAAGAGTTGCTGTGGCTTAAAGTGGTAGAGTTCGAGCCTTGAGCAGAAGAGCTCAGAGGCAGTACCCAGGCCCTGAGTTCAAGCTCTGTGATTGACAAAAACCAAAACCAAAAGGAGTTGGATATCAGGGGACTATACATTGACATTGTTATGGTACCTTGTAAGCATCTAAGTTGACTGTCTTTTGTTCTGATCTTTTTTGTTATATATAACTTGAGCTGACCCTGCCAAATTCACACAGATGCAAAATCTAAAACAGTCTTCTCTGGGAAGGTAAGTGATGCAGTGGAGAGTGCTTCTCTGCCATCTAGGAAATAAGCATAGCATACTGCAGAGGTGTCACACACCTAGTGCTGTAACACAGTCAGTTAAAAAGATTTCCTGGAGTTGCTAAAATAGTGCGATCTCACACAGCTTTTGGAAGTCTCCACTGATGCATGGGTGAAACCTGGGTAGCATCTGCTATGGATCCTTAACTCCATGTTTCTTTTACCTTGTTTCAATATGTAGCTTGTAACATAGACTGTTAAAGTTCTATTTCTATTGTTCATTTGTACTTTTAACCTATTTTTATGGTTACCTTGGATCAGATTGTGTGTGTGTGTGTATGTGTGTGTGTGTGTGTGTACTGAGATTTGAATCATGCTTGCTTTAGCTTGCTCACAACTATTCCTCTATCACCAGGGCCATGCCCCTGGCCTATCTTTTCCTGGTTATTTTGGAGATGGAGTCTCATGTACTTTTCTGCCTTTGAACTATGATTTCCAGATCTCAGCCTCCTGAGTAGCTGGCAGTATAGGTGTGATCCAGTGATTGGCGTTGGTTCAGTTTTTTGAAAATGATAGACTTTTTTTTTTTTTTTTTTGAATCAGAAAGTTAAACTGTAGTAAAAAAAATCTAAGGACTGTTTTCTAGGTTTTCAATTTTCTGCTATATTTGCAAAATTATTCTTGATGTTTCTAACATTACCTTGCTGAGGGGTTCTTCATATTTTCGTGAACTTTGCTATTCTTTTCTCTCTACTAAATTTTGCATCTTATTCTACATTTGGCCTACCCTGCAGTTAAGCTTTACTCCTCACCCTTTGGATGAGAGGTTCCTTTTAGGTACCCCAGGACACCTCAGCCTCCACAATGCCAAAATGAAAAGCAACTTCTCCATTCATTTCTTTCATGTAACCCTGACCCAAACCGCCAAAAGGAGCTTTTTTTTCCTGGACTCTTTTCTCAGGTCTAATGTCATGTGACATCATTCCTAAAGCCTTTGTGTCTTTGTTTTTATAAAAGTGAAGTGGTTATGGGAGAACCTGTTGTTGCTCAAAAGCAAATACTTCCCTTTTACACCTTGGACAGCTTTAGGTAGTGAGGTTTTATCCCAGCTGAGCCTTGCTCCTTGCCAGCAGGTGTGTTATACCGGCCTTAGGAGTCAGTGGGAGGAAACATTCACCAGTTATTGGAATAAATCTTAAGAAGTTAAGAGGAACAGACAGAAATAACAAAAACTGAGAGCATTGATTTCAATAATGTATACCTTTTGTGCATACACACATTTGTCAATGATTCTGCTATGTGTACTAAGGTAAAATTGTATTCTAGCTCAATAATGACTACGTGTATTTTTTAAACTCTTATATGTAATTCCTTTTTTTTTTTTGCCAGTCCTGGAGCTCGACCTCAGGGCCTGGCTCTATCCCTGAGCTTCTTTTTGCTCAAGGCTAGTACTCTACCACTTGAGCCACAGCATCACGTCAAGCATTTTCTGGGCTTTCCTGCCCAAGCTGGTTTCAAACCTCAATTTTTACATCTCGGCCTCCTGAGTAGCTAGGATTACAGGTGGCACTCAGCTTTGATTTTTTTTTTCTTTCAAGTAGTCACTAACAATTGTAGAAAAATGGATTTCTATGTCATATCTAATACCATGTTCTAAAACTCTTAAGAGTTAAAAAAACAAAACAAACAAAAAACTCTTAAGAGTTGGTTAAGCCAAGTGCTGGTGATTGATGCCTGTAATCCTCGCTGCTTAAAAGGCTGAGAACTCAGGATAGTGGTTTTAAGCCAGCCTGGGCAAAAATATATGTGAGACTCTTACCCCCAATTAACCAGCAAAAAATAGGAGGTGGTGTTGTGGCTCCAGTGGTAGAGTATCAGCCTTGAGTGAAAAAACCTAAGGGGTAACATTCAGGCTCTAGTACTGGCACAAAAGAAAAAAAATGTCAATAGGAAGTTGCATCTGGAGGAGAGTTGCTTAGGGAGAAACACAACATAATTTTATTGGAATGATAAAAGTATTCAAAATTGCAGTGAATGTTTTTATGGGCTTATTTGTCAGTACTGTACAGTTACTATTTTATATGCATATATTTATCATTCATTATGTTTTATTTAACATATAACATACAATATAAAGTTCATCTTCAGTAACTAAGTAATTGTATAAATGAATAAATGAGATGGGGAGTTCTACAGTAGAAGCAGAGATGAAATAAAAGTACGTCAAGCATGGTAGCTCATGTCTGTAATTCCAGTACTTAGGATGATTGGGAGTTCAATGCCAGGATTCAGTAACAGCAAAACTTTATCCCCTTCCCCCCTCAAATATCCTACATGATTATTTAATGATGAATCTGAGTTACAGATGTGTTATACTATTCATTTTATTTGTTTAAAATTTCAAGTAGTGCAGCACTTGTATGAAAGGACAAGTTGGTTGATAGAGTTCTTAGGCTCTTAATTACCTTTGGGGATGAGGGTGCAAGAATGGTTTGGGTGGTCCTAAGGAAGGTTTGGTTTTATTTCTTGGTTACACTTTGTAATAATTTGTGATGCCTTAAAGTTTAAAATACCTATTTATGCAAAAATTCTAATTCAGCATCTCACAATCACAGCTACATTTTGGTTTTGTTTTAAAGTGAGATACGTTTCCTCATCAGAGAGATTTTAGTATTCAGAGGGATTGCTTCATATCCTAGCCCTTGGGTCGCCCCTTAGGTCTTTCCATTTTAGCCTTCATTTGTAAGTCATATCTGGTTTCTATTTCCAGTAGTGCAACCCTCCTCTCCTAATCCTTCCCCTGTACAGTGTTCCCTGTGCTTAGTGTGCCCTCAGTAGTTGAACTGAGTTGATTAAGAAGTGAAATGAGTACAGCAGGTGAGTTTTTGGAGTGGGTTAGTTATTAGGTAATACATTTGTTGTGATTGGATGGACGGTTCCCAGTGGTCCATGTCACCAGAGCGATGCTGCTGAGACCTAGTGAGATGTTCCGTCACCTGGAAGCATGTTCTGGAAGGGGTTTGTTCATCCCTGGTCTCTTGACCTCCTTGCTATGAGGCAGACATCTTTTTTGGAGTATCCCTTCCTACCATGATGTGCTCCCTTACTACAGAGTAAGAGATCCAGTTGCATGGGAACCTCCCAAATTGTGGGCCCAAAGTACAGCTTTTTGTGATGGGAAGGGATATCTGGATAACACAGTGGATAAATCTGACAGGCCACAGTTAGGAGCAAATACTTTACATTCCTTTCAGAAACTGTTAACGGTGAGTTAATAGCTTAATGGGTTAAAGCAGCAATTTTAGTCCTGCTCTAATTCCAGAGAGCTCTTAATATCCATGAGAGCCTAGGTCCTCAGGGCTCTGATTCCTTGGTTTGTTCCAAGTGGGGCTTTTAGGGAACCATTTGGATAAGTTGCAGCAAGAAAGACATCTCAGCTCATCTACCCTGGTCACTTGCTTTCCAAGCAAGGGGTTGTTTTAGGCATAGTAGTTTGATTTAATCTAGGCTAACGATCATGAATAGCATATAAGTACCAAAAAGGATTTAAACTTTGCATTGTACATGTTCACAAATGTGTCATGTGTCACAATTCCTGAGCCCTGTTATTTCCCCATATTATGCCTAGGTTTTGAAGGCACTTGAGGAACATTCTTGTTAGAATAGCCGTGCAGTGAAGAGTAGCAGTGGAAGGCAAACCTAAAGAGAACCCAATTTCTGTGGCACAAATGCCATTCTTAAGTGTCTGGAAGCTCTACAGAAACTGTGGTTTCTGAGCTTTGGTGTGTGAGGCTGGCCTTCCAGTGGTTAAGGGCCTCTAGATAATCTCCTTGGTTTAGAATAATCAGAGACAACTTATCTGTAAGAAAAGACAGGGTAATACTGATTGCAAATTAGTTCCTAGGCCTTCCCTGTATGTCTACTCTTATAAATGGGCTAACAGCCACCTTCATGGAAAAACCAGAGGCTGGCTTGGATCTGGCTGACCTTGTTTAGTGTGTCCAATTGAAAGTGTGACTATGCCAGTGTGCCAGTTGTGGGCCTTGAATGCATCTGACTAGTCTAAGTCTGTCTTCTCCATAAGAATCAGCCCCTGCTCCTTGCTGGAGGATGATTCCATGGGGAAGAGAACCAAAGTGCTCCAGTGAATATCCAGGTCTCCCCCAGAAGCAGAGTTGCCCAGTCAGAGGCAGGACCCTTCCAAGGTCCTGCAGAGAGAATTAGCAGTAGGCCCAGCCCAATGTGGGCTCATCCCTAAAACAATAAGTTCAGTTATGGATTAATATGTAGTATTAAATACATCTGGTTCAAAAGGGTGCTGGATTTGATGACATGTTGATTTCAAAGGACTTGACAAGCAGCAGCAGCATGTTCTAGGAACTGATTTCTTTTTCCCTGCATTAATGTTGGGTGTTGTCTTGGATGATTTTGAGTTAGACAGCAATGCAAAGAGACATGAACATCTTCAAAGGAGGTATTTCAGTAGGTAAAAAGCACCATATACAAGATCTACAAACATGTCAAAGGTTAGGCAAAAAATAAACTGGCTTTTGTATGGAGGAGCAAAGAAAAGTAGAGAGGAGGTGGGCACAGGGAAGAGTGAAGGAAGGTAGAAAATCTGGATCCCAGAGGTCGGAGGTGTGGCTCAGTTGGTAGAGCACCAGCCAGTGAGTAAAAGCATCAGGTACCAATATTGATTCTTGGTCTCAGACCTAAAAAAAACCAACAAAACGAAAGAAAATCCAGATCCCAGAGCACGGGAAAGCCAGCCTGCTCTTGGGGATAGTCATAAGTGATGGCTGTAGTCTCATTCTGAGGAGGGGCTTAGAGAAAAGAGAGAAACCGAAGCCAAGTGTGGTTATCAGGGATTTTGTTCTTATTACCAAAGAGAATTGTTTGGAAATTGTTTATAGCTCTAACTAGAATATGCAGTCAGTGTAACAAACAAGACAGATCATCACAACTTTAGTGCAAAGTGTCTTGTCAGGAAGCTGCTTAGAACACATTATGGTATTTCCTGCCTACATGCTCCATTAGCTTTATGTTAATAAGACTTTATAAAATACGCATTTACAGAAGAAGAGTACATTGATTTCCTAGAATCAAACAAAATGTTAGAGAAGAGTAGCTACAGAAGCATTTCCAGAATGTTAAAAATGATTATATCCACGATATGAAATAACAAACATTGGACTATATAGACAACTTGAGCTTTACATAAAACATCTGGGGAGTAGATTGGCATGAGAGTTTATGGTTGACTGTATTTGGCACTTATGTAGTGCTGTGTTGACTTGTCAGCACAGTGAGCATTCCTGTGTTGGTGCCACTTTTTACTTTTCCTATTTCATGTAAGTCTGTGTCTGGTACTGGTGAGTGGATCTTAGGTCGTGCTCTTTCATCAAAAGCATGAGAGAGCTGGACACTGGTGGCTCATGCCTGTAATTCTATCTGCTTAAGAGGTTGAGATCTGAGGATTGTGGTTTGAAGCCAGCTCGGGCAGGCTTATCTCCAATTAATCACCTAAAAACTCGAAATGGAGCTGTGGGCTCAAAGTGGTAGAGCACTGTCTTGAGCAAAAAAGCTCAGGGATACCACCCAGGCCCTAAATTCAAACCCCTGCCCTATGCTGCTGCTGGTCAAAAAAAGCGTGAGAGAAGGTTTAGTGTCAATAAGTATTTTACTGAATAGTTAAGGTCACTTATCAATGTCAGAACAAGTTCTTACTTCATTTTGAGTCAAATGAAGAATTCTGCTTGGTGTGGTGGTACATGACTGTAATCCTAACTACTCTGGAGGAAGAGGTAGGAGAAATCAATGGTCCATCATTGGCATTGGCAAAAGTGAAACTGTTTCAGACCTAGTAAAAGTGCAGGCATAGCTCAGGTGGTAGAGGCCATGAGCCTAATCCCCTGGACCACAATAAACTGATTCATTTTTATTTTTATTTCAGAAACTGTTGTCATTCAAGGATGTGTCCATTAACTTCTCTCCAGAGGAGAGGGAATACCTGAGTCCTGCTCAGTGTACTTTGTATAGGGATGTGATGTTGGAGAACTACAGAAACCTGGTCTCCCTGGGTGAGTGTGTAACTTCTCTACAAAGTCCTTAATTCCTGTCAACCTTCCTCCTTTGTAGGATGTCTGGTGGGCATCAGTGACTTCTAGATTTTTGGTTTTAAGGAAGAAAATTGAGGGGAGGATGCACATTGGTGGTATGGACAAGGTAATTTTTATTGCATTTGCTTTTCTGTCCTTTTGGAGGATGTGTGCACCCTTACTTCTAAATGAGCTGGCCTGCTGTATTGTGGCCTACATCCTAAAGTCCAGTGTCTCATCTTCAGCTTCCACCCGGCAGCAGTTGCAGGTTGCACGCTTGTCAGGGACTGCTTGTGAATTCATTTGCCAGCCTGTGCAGTGCTTCTCTCACTAAAGTACAGAACTGATGCCGAAGGGGCAGAATGCCACTGGGAGAATGCCAGGCAAGCATCATCTCTTTTGCAACAAGCAGGTCTTGCTATCTCGCAGCCATACCTTATCACATTTCTGGAGGAGTGGGAAGAGCCTTGGAATCTGAAGAGACAAGAGGCAGGAGCAGTATATCCAGGTGGGTAGGAGGAAATGAATCAGAGGACACGGGTGAGAGGGTTTAAGATCACTGAGGAAGCCAGACTTTACAGTGTCAATGGAGGAGCTCAGCTTGGATAGAAGCTGCTCTTATGTCTCATGCTTTGAAAAGAAGACATCTCCTGCCCTGTACTGTTAGTGCTTTAAGTCCTGTAGCTTCCTGACACCCTACAGCCGTCTCCCAGCACAGCAGCAGGATCAGCCTGTGAGGAGCTGCAGAATGTGAAGATTGCTCAATGCTTAGTGGACTTCAAAACACCTGCATACACACTTAATGACCTCTCTGGAATCACTATCAAAATGTGATAGAGACCTTTCCCTAGTTAATCCAGGCAGTATCTCAAAATGGTTTCATCAGAATTCTTTATCAATACTTACAGATTATTGTCATTGTTTCCTGCCAACACTGAATGGCAGTAGTTTCAAATGCATGCTTTTCATGTGTTTATAGTTACAGCTAAACATAATTTTTAACTACAAAGTTCTTACAGCACATAAGTGTGTAGTCATTGTTTGGCAATTCCACACTTTTTAATGTAGATTCCTTCAATTATCAGTTGACAATAGTTTTAGTTTTACCTATGTGTTATAGTTTAATGGTATTTAATATTGTACACTTTAGGACAGTGTATAGTGTAACTAAAGTAGTTATGAGCCATATGCCTGTTTCTAATACAGTTAAACATATTGTTTTCTTGTATAAATATTTCCCCTAATTTTTTGGACCATATTTTCTTTATTCATCTTTTTCTCTTTTCTTTCTAGCCCTGGGACTTAGTGTCTTTCTTGCTCTCATTTGGCTCTTTCACTGCTGGTTCTCTACCACTTGGTCCTTGCCTCCAGTCTGCCATTTTTGCTGATTAATTGGAGAAAAGTGTCTTACAGACTTTTCTGCCTGGGCTAGCTCTGAACTACAATCTCAGATCTCAGCCTCCTGAGTAATGGATTAGAAGTGTAAACTGTTTGTGCCCAGTAATGACCGTACTTTCTCTCTTGGTTGGCTCTGGGTGGTTGTTTTATGAATGACTGAATATTTAGAGAATATTCATTCTAAATGAAATTATCCTCATTTCTCCTATTTATTGATATATGTGTTGCTTCATTGAAATTCTTTCGTGATTTAAATGTAACTTAAAATATTTATAATTGGGCTGGAAAGGTGGCTTAGTGGTAGAGTGCTTGCCTTGCATGCATGAGGCCCTGGTTTGATTCCTTTGCACCACATAAACAGAAAAAGCTGGAAGTGGTGCTGTGACTCAAGTGGTAGAGTGGTAGAACACTGGCCTTGAGCCGAAGAGCTGAGGGATAGTGCCCAGGCTCAGAGTTCAGGCTCCATGACTGACAGAAAAAAAAAAAAAAGAAAACAAAACATACACACACACACACACACACACACACACACACACACACGTGTGTGTGTGTATATATATATGTATAATTGAGTTATCTTGAGTTTTGTCATTTCATTTTAATTGTGATGAAAACCACGAAACATAAAATTACTTTTTAAAATATCTTTAGTGTACTATTCAGTAGAGTTAAGTGTATTCAAATTGTTATGTTACCATATCTGTAGAGAAGAATTTTCAATATAGACAAACATGTAGTCTGCAGCTGCTGCCGGGTGGAAATTGGAGATGAGACACTGGACTTTAGGATGTAGGCCACAATACATCAGGCCAGCTCATTTAGAAATAAGAGTGCACATATCCTCAAAAAGGACAGAAAAGGAAATGTAATAAAAATTACCTCGTCCATACCACCAATGTGCATCTTCCCCTCAATTTTCTTCCTTAAAACCAAAAGTCTAGAAATTATTAATGCTTACCAGACATCCTACAAGGATGAACTCCTTGTAGGAGACACTTGGTGGTTCTGCCATCTTCTTGGTTCTGTAGTAATTACACACTTCTGTCTCCTCTGACCTGAGCTCTCATCCTAGGTGTAACTATAATTGTTACCTTCCACACTGTTTCAGAGGATGCAAAAACCAGTCTTCAGATAGTTCCCAAGAATGTGAAAAATACTTGATTTGTTCTAATCTTTTGTCTTCTGAGGGAGAGGAATGGAGTTGACAGGGTTTTTCTTTTGTTGTCATATTTTTTCTCTAACTGCACAGTGCTGGAAAGAGGAGCTGTGTGGTTCACTAAACTCTACTTTAGTCTATGCTCTCCTTTTGTGCTCACCTGGGCTACTGTGAAGTCATAACTAGCTTTGAAAGTTCTCACAAAGGCAATGTGGTCACCACACTTTCATTAAATGCACATATCCATGTGGAAATATGGGACTTCTATTTACTGTGCTAGCTACTTCTCTATCTCGTAAATGTCATAGCCTTTTAAATACTAAATTTATAAGTTGTATTTACTTGAGTGTAGTGAGACCATTTCTTACTTTGGTTTCTTTCAGCTGTGTCTTCTCAGTGCACAGAGCCAAGCAAAAAGCATTCATTCCAGAAAGTAATAAAAGGAAGACATGGAAAGCACGGACTTAGCAATTTAAATTTAAGGAAAGCTTTGGACAGTGTGGTTGAATGTACTAGTCAGAAAGTCTGTCACAATAGACATAACCAGTGTGTGATAGCTGCCCACAACAAGAAAACTTCCATTGCTGTCAGAGACCAAGAACATCTGTCCTCTCAGAAAATAACTAATCATTGTAATGAAATTCACAAAAATTTTAAACATGCCTTAAATCCTAGTAAACATCATTATACTCTTTTTCCAAAGAACTTTTACAAATGCATCAAATGCGGGAAAGGCTTTCATCAGTGTTCAAAACTTACTATCTATCAAAGCATCCACAGTCAAGACAAACCTTATACATGTAATGTATGTGGACAAGCTTTTATTGACAACTCAACCTTTTATCAACTTCAGAGGGCTCCTCCAGGAGATAGACCCCACAAATGCAAAGAATGTGGCAAAGACTTTAACAGCTGCTCAGCCCTTATTCAACACCAGAGAATTCATACTGGAGAGAAACCTGGCAGGTGTAAAGAATGTGGTAACACTTGTAACTATTCATACCTCTGTCAACATCAGAGAATTCATACTGGTGAGAAGCCCTGCAAATGCAAAGTATGTGGCAAAGTTTTTAACTGTTCTTCCTACTTTAATCAACATCAGAATAGTCCTACTGGAGAAAAACCCTATAATTGTAAAGAGTGTGGCAAAACATTTAGTAAAAAGGCCTTCCTTAGTCAACATCAGAGGATTCATAGTGTTGAGAAACCCTACAAATGCAAAGAATGTGGCAAGGCCTTTAACTGTTCTTCATACCTCACTCAACACCACAGAATTCACACTGGAGAGAAGCCCTATATATGTAGAGAATGTGGCAAAGCCTTCAGCTGTTCTTCTCACCTTAATAAGCATCAGAGAATTCACACTGGAGAGAAGCCCTATATATGTAACGAATGTGGCAAAGCATTCAATCAAAGTTCAATCCTTACTCAACATCAGAAAATTCATACTGGTGAGAAACCCTACAAATGCAAGGAATGTGGCAAATCCTTCAACCATTCTTCATACCGAAATCAACACCAGCGAATTCACACTGGAGAGAAACCTTATCGATGTAAAGAATGTGGCAAAGCCTTTAACTGTTCTTCACACCTTAGTCAACATCAACGAATCCATACTGGAGAGAAGCCATACAAATGTAATGAATGTGGCAAAGCTTTCATCTGTTCCTCACACCTTAATCAACATCAGAGAATTCACACTGGAGAGAAGCCGTACAAATGCAAAGAATGTGGCAAAGCCTTTAATTGTTCCTCCCACCTTAACCAACACCGACGAATTCACACTAGAGAGAAGCCCTACAAATGCAAAGAATGTGGCAAAGCCTTTAAATGCTCTTCATATCTCAATCAGCACCAGAGAATTCACACTGGAGAGAAACCGAAAGGTAAATAAGGTAATAGAACATTTACTCAAAGTTTAATCCTTAACTTCACAGGATTCATACTGGTGAGAAATAAGGACAAATAATTTGCAAAGCCTTTTAACTGTTCTTCATACCATAATCAACATCAGATAATCCATACTAGGAAGATTTCCTACAAATACAATGATTGTGGCAAAAGCCTTAATAAGTGTTTATCCTGGTTCAACACTAGAAAATTCAAACTGGAGAAACACTGTTATAGATACGTAGAATGTGACATAACTTCTCACATTTGCTTAGACCTTTCTTGTTCAACACCAAAGAATTTGTATTGGAGAGACCTTCAAATGCCAAGAATGTAGCAAATCCTTTTCCCCTTTCAATAAATCTCATTCCTATTCAGCATCATAAAATTCACACTGGATGGAAACATCATCCATGTGGTGGCTTAAAGGAACTTTGTCCAATATATGCACCTCCGAAGAAGAAAATAGTCATACATACTGGGAAACACATTCCAAGTGTAGAGTACGGCGAAGCCTTTGATCATATCTGTGTGTATGGAACTGGAGTTTAAACTTTGGGCCTTGCTCCTGCTAGGTGGGTGCACTACTAGCAGTGCTCCATGTTCCTTTTGCTTTTGTCATTTTTCATATAAGGTCTCACATTTCCATGTTGCCAATGGGATCTCAGTCTGCCTATTTCCACTTCCTACATAGCTGGGATGACAGATGAGTGTTACCATGTTGTAAGTTCTGCCTTGGGGAGGCAGGGCAGACTCCTCCCTCCTCTTGGCTAAGTCTCCACCTAGTACTTGTGTCACCTAGGTAACTGGCACACCTGGAGGCAGTCACCCCCTCCCCCAAGGTCATATTCTGGGCCACCCCCATCACACCTCCTGTTGGACCGGGGAGGTCCCAGGCCTTGAGGTCACATCTGCATCCAGTGTGACCACACCTTCCCTCACCAGGTCACCCCCTTCTCCCTGCCCTGCCTTACTTAAACTCAGGTGGAACATTGGCCTGTTCCTTTGATCATGTGCTTCTCCACCATGCACAGCGGGGGGCAGCAGTTGAGTAAAGAATAAAGTTCTCTTCCTGCCTAAATACTGCGTGGTGTTCTCTTCATCGGCTACCTAATTAAACCTACCTATTTAATTTACCTAACACATGTGAAGCCTTTTTAAAAAATTGGTCTGTTAAGATGGAGTGCTTGCAAACTGTTGCCCACACTAGCCTCAAACCAGATTGCTCTCTTTATCCTTTCCTCCTGAGTAGCTGATATTACTGGTGTTAAACTTAAATCTTAATGTATGTAAGGGAATTATTATAGTTGAAATCCTATTACAGTTGAATTTGACAAAACCTTGTCATAATTTCATTAGTTGATACGGTTGAAAGGCATAAATTTTGATCACAGGTATCAGGATGGTGCAGATAACTCATCTCTGAAAAGAAGGAACTTTGTTATAAATCCAGGTTTCTGAACAGTTTCTTATGAACTGCATGAAGCAGAGCTCTGACATAGATCATAGTAAGGGAGGAATATGATTGCTTCTTGAGGGTTTGTATTTTTTTAGTCTGCAGTGGATTTTGATATACTATATTTGAGTTATTGTTTTAGCAAATAAAAATGATGATAATGTGTAATTTTGTTGTGTATTGAATGCCACGTTACCTTGTCATAAACATACCATTCCCCTTGCTTAAGGATTTAGATAACAGTATGCTATTGGGGATTAGTGGAATGACTGGCAATCCTTTTCCTGTTATTAGTAAACTTCAATAATTTTCAGGATGGTTCTTCTGTATACCAATTTTAAATATATTTAATGTATAGTGGAAGCTATTATAAGCGAGCCTATTAAATCTTGAAGTACTGTTGGTAAAATTTAACTTTATTTTTTCTCCTGTCAAGAAGCCTTTGAATTCATTTACATTAATTGTAATAAGCAAAATATAATCATCAAGAGTAAGGGAATTGCACAAATGTTAATTATGTGTTTGTTTTACTTATATTTATTGAGAAGACAGGGAAATAATGAAACAAGGGATAATTTTGAAAACTTGGTAATGTACCAGCAAACTAGAAAACCCATATATTTCTGAATTCATTTTCAGAATCACAGTTTTGGTTTAGTATTTCCTCATGCTAATCCTATGCATGTGACTACTGCAGGACTTCATTGTACTTTATAAAGTGTTATTTATTTGAACTTCATGCATATAAAACATGTCTTAATGATATTGCATGGTTTCAAGCCTCACAACTGACCAAAAAAAAAAGATATTTCATGGTGTTGAGGAAATAATTTGAATCTATATTACATTGACCATATTAGAACATATTTCTTCAATTAATATAATCTATCATTTCCTTCTCAATAGAACACTTGTAAGTCACCCTTTTCTTGTTCTTCCTTTCAGTTTGATGAGAGATATCATACAATGTAATGAATTTACTGAGTCAAATTAGTTGAGGTGAATCCTGGAGATTCATGAGCCATGAGTGTGTTTAGACGTTTTTGGGAAAGACGCACAGAGAAAGAACAATTGTAATATCTAACATTTATTTAGAGGAGAAAGTTATCATTACAATGTGTTGTTTCTTTCATGTAAGAGAAAGAAGTACCCAGAGTGAAGAAATGGTATTAGGTGTGTAGGTAAGTAAGTGTACTTTGTGACTTCTGAAGGAAGAAACGTCTTGGAGCAGAGACATCTTTCTCTTTTGTTGCCTTCTGGTTTTTCTTCATTTCAGCTACACAATGATGACTACTTTAGTTTCTCTAATGCAGTGGTAAATGCTGATTCAGCAGAGTTGCGGCTCTGCAACTGAAATTTGTCTAATTGAGTCACAGTAATTGATATATGGGTACAGTGTTGAATTTCAGTGCATACATGTGTTATATAATTCAATGTACTCAGCCTATTACCTTAAACAGTTACCATTTCTCCTGCCAAGAATATTCAGCAATCTTGTAGCTATTTTGTAATACATCATAGGTAATTAGCCACAGATCACCCTCCTATGTGATATATCAACCATAAAACTCATTTTTCTTACCTGCATATGTCTGTCAGCCTCCCCATCTCTCTTCTCTCCACACTTAGGAGATCCACTCTTAACATTTTACAAATGAGAATAAACAGGCCTTGATTTTCTAAGTCCAGTTTATTTCACTTAATGTACATTTCTACAGTGTTAGCCATGTTGCAGCAAATGTCAGAATTTCATTTTCATCAGTGGAAAGTATCCCAGTGTATTCAATACCATATCTTCTTTGCCCGTTCATCTGTTAGTGGATGCTTAGTTTGATTTCATAAACTGTCTATTCTACACATACAGAATCGTACACATCTATATTCATCATGCTTATTTGCGTGGTTGAATAACATTATTAAATTTTGTATTTGTCAAGATACCACCACAGTGCTTTCTGTAATAGTTCTAATTTACCTTCTCCCAACACTGTGTAAGACACTTTTCCTAATCCTCATCAACACTCACTGTTTTTCCTTTTGGATAGTGGCCATTCTCAATGAAGTGAGGTGATATCTTGTGATTCTGAGTGTTATAAGAATGGTAACACTGCCAGCAAACTCCATTGTAGTTTTGTAAATGATCACAAATAGCTCCTTTCCTTCCCTTCCTATAAACGTTGCTCAAAGGATTGGTGTTTCTGTGGTTAGATTTCCAAAAGTAACATATATGACTTTTTTTTGGTATTTTCCTTTACTTAAAAATAATATAAAATTTCTCATTTAATACACCATTTTATAAAAATTCACTATCTGGTACCATCTATAAGCTATTAATTTAAATGTATCTGTTGCTAGAAGTCTTTGATTCATCTTGAGTTGATATTAGTATTGGCTGACAGGGACCCAGCTTTTGTTTTCTGCCACAAATGTCCAGTTTTCTCAACAGCAGTTATTTAGAGGCTGCCTTTTCCCTCATCCTGTTTTTGGCTCCCCTGTCAATTTTAGATGGTTGTATGTCTGTGTTTATTTCTAAGCCTTATTTTTTGTTCCTTTGGTATTTGAGCCTGTTTTGTGCCAGTACCAAGCTGTTTTTGTTACTAGAGCTTTTTTTGTAGAGTTTGAAGTCTGGAATTGTTAAATCTGTCACTTTTTTTTTTTTTTTTTTTTTTGTGCCATGAATGTGTTTGTGATTTTGGGCTTTTCATGATCCAAGGTAAATTTTTAATGGTATTGCATTGAAGTATTGAACTTTATTGGGGGGGGGGTCCTGGTCATGGGGCCTGAACTCTGGGCCTGGGTGCTGTCCCTCAGGTCTTTGGCTCAAGGTTAGCGCTCTACCACTTGAGCCACAGCACCACTTCCAGTTTTTTTCTTTTTGCTTATGTGGTGCTGAGGAATCGAACCCAGGGCCTCATGCATGCAAGGCAAGCGCTCTACCACTGAGCCACCTTCCCAGCCCTGAAGTATTGAACTTTAGGCTATATTGACATTTTTATGATAATCCTGTCAGTACAGTGCCTTCTTTAATTTCAAAATTTTACGGTTTTTGTTGTAGAGGTTCTTCACTTCCTTAGTTATGTTCATTACTAACTAGTTCTTTGTTTTGTTTTCTGAGACTTGACAATGGTATTGCTTTTCTAATTTCACAGAAAAGTTAACTAATTTTTATAAATTGATTTTATACCTTTCTACTTTGCCAAAGATATTTATCAGCTTTAGAAGCTTGGGAGCAGAGTCTCCAGGGTCCTTTATAGTATGGTCATCTGCAAATAGAGATAATTTTACTTCTTTCTTCCCTGCTTGGATCCTCTTTGTTTTCTCTTGCCTTGTTGCTCTGGCTAAGAATTCTAGTACTCTACTGAAAAGGAGTGGATACAGGAACAAAACATCTTTGTCTTGTTCCTGACTTAAGGGAAAATGGTTTTAGTTTTTATATCATTTACTGTGATGTTGGCTGTAGATTTGTGACAAACAGCTCTTTTTTATATCGAGGAATGTTCTGTCTGTATATAGCTCCTCCAAAGCTTTAATCATAAAGGGATGTTGGATTGGTTGCTGGTGGCTAATGCCTGCCACCCTAGCTAGTCAAGAGGCTGAGATCTGAGGATTGTGCTTTGAAGCCAGGCAGGGCAGGAAAGTCTGTGAGACTTTTATCTGTAACTAATCCAGTTAAAGGCCAGAAGTAGAACTGTGACTCACATGGTTGGGCACTAGCCTTGCACAGTGAAGCTCAGGGACAGCACCCAGATTGTAAGATCTTGTTAGAGGCTGTTTTTATATCTTCTGAAATGACCATGTGTCGCCTACCTTTGGATCTGCTCATATGTTGTAAATCATTTATTGATTTATGAATATAAAACCAGTCTTGCATTGCTGCGATGAATCTCACTTCAATGCAGTGTATGATTTTGTTGTTGATTAGTTGAAATTTGGCAAGTATGTTATTAGAGTTTTGCATCTATGTTCATCCAAGATTGGTCTCTAGTTCTCTCTTTTTTTTTAGATAATAAACACGCTAATCAATACATAACATTAAGATCCCTACTTAACTCACTACAGCAATATTTAGTACTCTGCAATAGTTTTTCTTATTTTGTCATTCTCTACCAAGTACCACCTACAGACTAATAACTAAACATGATATATTGCTGGAAATCACAATCCAGGCTCATAGCTCTGATAGGAAAATAGACTAAGTCTGCATTACACTGCCCTGAATATTCTTAAAAGCTCTGGTGTATCAAAAGACTCTGATAACCAATTGCGTGTGTATGGTCAGGAATTTGATTTACATTCTCCAAGTCACTAAAAATTTTCTTTTGATTTGGGTATTATTTTTGTATTCCTTTGATTGAAATGTCTAACAGACAATTTAAGTGGGAGGAAGTACTTAGTTTCACTGCTAATGACAGGTTTAGTCCATGTCCACCTGCTCCGCTCCCATGCCCTTAGGAAGAAGTGGGAAGGGAGATGGAAGAAAAATATTTTTACATGTATTAAAGATATGTAACTAGGTGATATAGAAAGGGAAAGAGAAAATAGGAAAGGAGGTAAGGAATTCGTGAGAAGGGGAGAGAAATTAGTGGGCAAGAAAAGTAGCTCAGGATACAGGTGCAGCGTTTAAAGGGCGTATTCCTAGCTATCTTTCCCAACTAGGTACTTTACCAAAGATCCACATGCTCACAAAATAATGCCACCAAATGAGACTAGGCAATTAAAGCATGGTTTATAAGGATTATTTCATTTTCAAATCACAAGTACAAGAATATTACAAGTAAAACTGGAAAACAGATGAAGACCTTTGAAGTTTTTGACAAAGCTGTTGCCAAAATTACTTCATAAAAAATTCAGTTAGCTGGGTGCCGGTGGCTCAGGTCTGTAATCCTAGCTACTCAGGAGGCTGAGATCTGAGGATCACAGTTCAAAGCCAGCCCAGGCAGGAAAGTCCGTGAGACTCTTACCTCCAATAAACCACCTGAAAAATGGAAGTGGCGCTGTGGCTTACGTGGTACAGCGCTCGCCTTGAGCTGAAGAGTTCAGGGACAGTGCCCAGCGACAGAATTCACGCCCCACAACCACCCCCCCCCCCCCCCAATTCAGTTAAGCTAGAGATCACTCATGTTTTTTCAATACCTTTGTTTTCATTTCTTTACAGATTTGGT